AGGCCAAAACATTGGAGACATGCGAGCACCTCAACACTAAAGCAGTCAGTCACTTAACCTTTCCTATAACATAGCTAAACACAAACTAAAACTAGCTCAGACTGCTAATGAGTAGTGGGTTGCTTGAGGATAAAAAGCCTTGTTGCTTCTTGGGCTGTGTGGGAGTTTTAGTCGCAGTCTTAGATGCGAAGTGTTGCTGCTTTGAAAGTAAAAATTACGTTCTGTTTAAAAATGATTTGGCAGGTTATTCAGTGGGTATTCTGTTCTCATGAGTACCTCAAACATGGTTTAACAGCAAGACTAAAGAAAGTGAGCTGACTATTGATTTACTTTGAGAGAAAGCGATTATGACTATAGGAGATATAATAACTGTGTGGTTTATAGACAGTTATTCATTCATATTCGACAAATGTAGTTTTTAAATAATGGCTATATTAAGATAAACGTATCAATAGTTAATTGCATAGTTAACAATAAATAAAGTACATTTACATAGACATAGTCTAATATTGCAAATCTGTGATAGCAAAAAAACAAAACACTAATAGTTTGTACACAAGAGCCCCTCAGGTCGTAGCTCTCCAACCATAATTGTATAGAAGCCATAGCAGAGACGATCTTGGATCGTATTTCCCCCATCAGTCAGGGTGACTAATGGGACACGTTTTCAGTGCAGAATGAATTTGGCTAAGACCTGTGTTGGCCTGATACGGTGACGTTATAGAGCGCGTGGGAGAACAGAGCACCCCTAGAGTGATAATTAGTCCAGTCTCTCATTGTGCAGGCTGGAGATTTGAACACCAAACTGACTTTGTTTCTCTCCGTCTCTCCCTTTTTTTTCTTTGGCCCCACTTTGGCTTCCTCTGTCTATCCTCCTGAGCTTCTAGCTGCCTTAATTAACCACAATTCTTTACACTTTTGACTGATTTCAATTTGATTGAGTTAATCTGATTTCAATTCAAGATTTAGCACAGACCATGGGGGAAAGTTAGTCTGCTTCTCCGTCTTTCCCTCTTCTCCAATTCTCTTTTCTCCTTACAGCCATGATGAGCTGCAGTGAAACTGAATTATTCACAACTGCAGCAGCACCACTCGGAAAGATCTCAGCAGGCAGTGATAGACGGAAAAACAGTTACTTTATGAAAATGCACATCTCAAGTACCTTGGTATCTTGATGGTTCTGTCACCCTTTTCATCTTATATCAGTCAACATGCCGCACAGTTGAAGAATAAAAAGGTCCTTGCAAACTCTTATTTTATGTCTGCGATAAAAGTGTATTACAGTGCATATTTAATGGCTCACCAGGCTGATATACCTACAAAAACAAAAATCTTCTGTGTTTGGCTGATTGAATCTTTCTTTTTATTCTAAGGCTACAGTCTCCCTAGCATCTTGTAGAATAAATATTTTGTTTTCTCTTTGGTCTCCATTTTTAACCTTTATAAACCAAAATCCTTTCCAACTCTACTACTTGCCTTTGTCTTAAATTCTAAATGAACAAATTTATCCTTAAGGACCAAACTCCTTATCAAAGTGCTTTGTGAAAATTAAATTAAATTAAAAGCTTCCCTTTTTCTCCTAGATTTCGTCATCATATAACAGACGATACACCTAATATTCAAAAGGAAATAAAAGATAATTTGCTGATATGGGTCTGGTTCTGGTTTGAAAACTGCATTATTTTATCATAATAAAATCATTCCATCCATCCATTTTCTGACACGCTTGTCCCGAGTGGGGTCGCGAGGGGTGCTGGTGCCTATCACCAGCAGTCAATGGGCGAGAGGCGGGGTACACCCTGGACAGGTCGCCAGTCCATAGCAGGGCAACACAGAGACATACAGGAAAAACAACCATTCATACACACACTCGCACCTAGAGAAGCCAATTGTCCAACTGTGGGAGGAAGCCGGAGTACCCGGAGAGAACGCACGCATGCTCAGGGAGAACATGCAAACTCCAAGCAGACCCTGGGCCGGGAATAGAACCCAGAACCTTCTTGCTGCAAGGCAGCAGTGCTACCCACTGGTCCACTGTCATGTCACAAACCATTAAAATGCATTGTAATGGTTTGTGTAGTTTATGAATTTGAAAAAAGCTCTCCGAAGAATATTGGCTTTGTGCAATACTTGTTAAATGAGGAAATATTTCAAATGAACCCATTTGTAAAATTGTCCTAATGTAATATGTATAATTGTCTAAAAAAAAAAAGAAAAAAGAACAATATTCTGTGGAGAGGTAAGTTAGGTGGGAAGCTTTTTAAAACTTTTTAAACTTGCTGTAATGGCTGTAATTTGGTGCTCTTCCAAAAATGATCCATTATACACAAATTTCTCACAGTATAGCTAAAAAAAAAGATTTTGGCCAGTAATTCATTTTCTGAATCAACTTATGTTAACCTATTGAAATGGTAAATGGCCTCTACTTATATAGCGATTTTTCAAGTCAGGAGGACTTGACCAAAGTGTCTTACACTCCATTCAGTCATTCACACATTCATGCACACTCACACACTGATGGTGCCAAACTATTGTAGCCACAGCTGCCCTCGGGCTCACTGACAGAAGCGGAGCTGCCGTACACTGGCGCCACCAGGCCCTCTGGCCACCATCAGTAGGCAATGAGGGTGAAGTGTCTTGTCCAAGGACACAAGGACACTGAACGTCGGAGCTCGAACCAACAACCCTCAGATTGCAGGGCAAATTCCTGCACACGGACGCCACTGTTGCTCCAATTAATTTTAGACTCCTTACTAAAATTTAGTCACTTCCAGGCTGTGTAGGAATATAGCTAAACTGAATAACATGTATCTTTCCTACTCATGAATTGTCTCATTAAAGTGCCTTGAGATGAAATATGTTGTGAATTAGTGTTACATAAATAAACTGAATAGAACTGAATTGGTCAGGCAGAGATAAAACTGTCTTTGCATTTGTGTTATCCTATTTGCTTAATAGTACGTACACTGTTGATAAAGAATAAAAAAAAGTTAAAGGACGGCTAGTTACTTTGCTTTTTATGCTAACTCAGATATTAAGTGTGCCAATTTAGCTTTGAAATTTTGTTTTCAAAGGGTTTTGCTTGCAAGAAGACATGCATAGCGCGGCTTATTCGGGTAAATATCCTCTATTTTGATTCCTGAAGCAGCGGTGGTATGCTTCTGTTGTGGATATCATAAAATCCTCTATTACATCAACTTTTTGGAATTTATTATAGTAATTTTCCTACAGACATATTTAAAAAAAATGGAAACTTACACATGGTAAGTCGCAACGAGCTATAAGCTGCAGATATCTACTGAACTGCCGCCAACCAAACCTGTAGGGGGAGCTCTACATATATATATAGCCCCTTGAGTAGGGGAGAAGAAGAATGCTAGCTCCCGTTAGCTTGTTGGCTCACAGCAGTAAGAGCTCCTAATGAAAGATGGGGCTTTGTTGACTCATTATTTCAGCTCTGCAGGAGTTGAGCCCAGTCTCTTTATTGGTTCGGCAGCTTTAATGTAGCAAATAAATGTCAAAATGTGTGAATTCTGGATATTTGTTCTCTGTCCTGCCTGCTGCTAGCATTTTCTTGTGCTAAATAACAATTAGCCCCCTATTCAGTCATTTCTGTCTTCACCCTCTGGCAGTTAGGGAAAATACACAGAAAAGCTGCATGGTTCAAAGCGTGGGAAAGAAGTTGTGGTTTATAGTCTGGAAAATACAATATATTTACAGTCTATGACAAGATGAGACATTATGACTGCTTTGTTTGCTCACTGTAGTAATATAAATACCTATGTGGTATTTGAGCAGCATTCCAGGAGACACAACAGATTCTCTGGCAGGAAAGTAGAAATGAAGTCTCAGATAAACAAACAAAAAAAATGTCTCTGAGCAAACTGAATGCAGTGAAACATGACTCATCTCTGACCAGTTTTGTTTGGTCTCATGACCTAAGTGACATATTTGAGTCATCTGATGCTCTGATGTTACTGCGATCTCTCAACCACACACAAACACAGACACAAAAAGTCAGCCTTTAACCCAGCAAAGGATAAAAACCTGACTCAGGGAATAAAGGTCAGAGGAAGAGATTAGTCAGTTGATCAGCATTCATTGGGCTCAAACTGGAAAGAAGCAAAGCATGCTGAAATCAGGCTGTCCTCATGAGACCTAATGTGTTTGATGCAATTCAAATTACTTTAATGAGTTCACTTTTTACTGTTACATATCATGCATAATAGATATCTATCATGATCAGAGAAATGGCAGCTGATACCAAGGTGAACTGCTTATATTCATCCATGAACTGATGAACATGTGTCACATGAAGCACACACTGGAGCTAAATTTGAGTGCACAGCCTTAGATTAGATTAGATTAGATTTAACTTTATTGTCATTACACAGGTACAGGTACAAGGCAACGAAATGCAGTTTAGGTCTAACCAGAAGTGCAATAGCAGCAAGTGCAGGATAAATAATGGTTCGATAAATACAGGACATGTGTTTCTACTGAATAAGTATAGAGATGAATACCATTATAAACAGAATCTTACTAATAGAAGAATATAATATAAAACTAGTGTTATGAACTAAATTTACAGCTGGATATGTACCAAATGTACTATATAGGTGGATATTACTATGAAAAGGGTTTTTACAGTTATGTACAATAGCATATATTCGGATGAATTTTACTATAAATGAATAAATAAAGTTTGGACAGAAGCTATCTAAATTAAAGTGCAGTGGAAGGTAATTGCATATTACAGTTAAAGTATGTTATTGCAAATGTATATGTAAACAATTGGTACTGTGAATAAACATTCGGCAGTGCAAATCAATATTCAATAGATAAATAAATGAATCAATATTCATTTAAACTGACTATTACAGCACTGTGCTTTAGGGTCACACACAGAAGCAGATATCTATCAGTCTTTAGCCTGCTTTGATTCTCTACTTGAGACAACATTGGGAAAAGTCAGATCTTACAGGGTTTGTGACACTTACCACTGTAGGTTATGATCCGGATGGTTGAGTCTCCTTCTCCAAAGCGAGTGATGGGAGTAAGACGCACCTCATAAGATTCAGGTTTTATCAGCTCAGTCAGGTTATGAGTCATGAGCTCCCCTTTGCCGATGGTATCTCCCACAGGGATCTCCTGCTCCCACCAGCGCTGCGAGCCCACCTGAAAGAAAAAAACAGCAAGAACATCTGATTATTATATCATTTTAAAATATACTAGTCAATATGGAAAGAAAATCAAGAGCTTAATTGAAAAATAATCAGATTCACAAAAGTCTGTTTCAATAATTTCTAAGCTTTCAGATATTACGTTCCATGGTTTTTATGCCCTGTCCTAAAGAGTCAATAAAAAATTAAAGCTATTGCATATGTTAGGATAATTATCATTGATGATGTATGTTTATTACACCTTAATATTAGCTGCCTGTTGCGTATCAGAACTAAAGTTTTCCCCAGTAGTTTATCTAATTAGGCCAGTTCCTCAGTCCGGCTACATACAATCTTAATTTTGTATGTGGCAAAGATTTGGGAATGGAATGGCAGCGGTGTCCTTCAGCTAAGAACAAAGTGTAATATTTTGATAAACCTGGAGCCATGGATCTCTCCTCATCTGCAAACTAAGTGATGTAATGATGAGATGATATGGCAGACTGGAGTGAAATGCTTCTTTAACTGTTCATCGGTGCCACATCCCGAGAATTGAGCCTGGTTGGTAAGCAGCTGCCTTCGGTAACTAACCAACTTCTCTGATCTGAGTAAGATTACGATTTCTATTAAAATCTTTTGTCATGTCTCATGGTTATGTAATACATATAAGTTATGAAGTGTTATTTAAATAGTTTGTTCCCAAGTGATCTCTTTTCAGGAAAAAGAACCGAAGAGACAAAGCTTCAAGGTGTAGACACAGAGTTTTTTGAGTCTTTTCAAGTGCAATATATACAAACTCATGGAGTAATTGTGATGACCAAAATGATTGCTATAATTTTATTTTAAATTTTAGCATAACTGTGCAACTTCAATTAAAAAAAGCTCAATATATCTGAATTAACTTAAACTGGAAATTATTTCAGTTTGAGCAAAATTATACAATGAATGCAAAACAGCACTTAAACTAATGGTTTGGTAGTACAGCTGCTTAAATGAACAAAATGGAAGCCATGTTTGTGAGTTGGCTGGTTATAATGTAAAGGGAGAAAAATAAGTATATGCTTCTTCTTCCATGAGCCCTGAGTAGCATAACTCCTATAGAAGATGAATCAATCAAACCATCTTGCTGCTCAATTATTTACAGCAACAGAGTTTATAGAAGACTTTATTCCTAAAAGTTCTGCACTTGGGAAACCTTTTCTCTATATTATGTAAAAAAAATAAAAAAATTTCTACAGGCATTTAAATCACAATATTTATTAATAAATATTTGTAATTTTGCTGGCGGCTGAAACCATATGAATTATGTTTTAAGTATATTTGTCAAGAGGAGGAACAACCTTTTCAATTTGGTTTTCAAATAAAAAATACCATTAGAATCTGGGTTACCCAATGTTAATGAAAACAGCTAATGTAGGTTTGCATCATTCAGATATTTATCTACAAACCCGTTTCAACATGGAGCTTAAATGCTCCTGCAGAGTACAAATCCCTTAACCAATTTTATGAGCCCAGCTATCATACAAAATAGTGTTTTTTTTTTTTTTTTAATCAGTAGTAATAAAATGCATCCCATTTAGATTTCAAGGGAAAAAAGAGTCTACTGAAAATACTATGCGTACATTTTATCCAAAGAAATCAGTTTCGAGAAATAACCTGCACCAAGTTAAGTAACTGCTTCTACATCATTACTGAATATTCATGCTCTTCTCCGCTCTAGAAAAAGAAGAAGTAAGCAGCCTGGTACGGTGGAGATGGAGTGTAAATAGGTGTGATAGCTGAGCACTGAAGTCATCGTGTATACATGAGAAAACAATACTAATTAAGTAATTACTTGGAGTTTGAATGATCTGCAATTATGGGGTGCAAGTTTTCATCACCATTAGTTTTGCAGGTAAATAGAGTATGTTGTCTGACACAGCTAATTACACTTGTCCCTACCTATCTGAAAAATTTTACCTTCTACTTAAGTACAAAAGGCATGGCTGCTAATTGGTATAAATTATACAGTGTTCTCCTCAGTATGTGTGTCTTGTCAGTCTTAAAGAGGATGGGGCTGTAATTTGTTTTTTAAAATCAAGCTTTTTTAAATGAAAAAAGTCCCAATTTTGTGATCACTGATACATCAAGATGTTTTGAAGGGTCTACATTTTGACATTTTATTAATCAAAGACAAAAATGTAAACGGACACCAAAGAAAACAATATTTGGGCTTTTTTTGTATGTAGAGGCAATTAGCATCCAAATACTAAATTCATGGATAGCTACATACTTTATTCCTCTTTGTTAAATGCTGACCTTAGTATTTAAATGTTGCAGCTCCAGACAAAATGCATTGCACCAGGCTGTTTATTTAACAGTCACATTTAGGAGACATTGTAATAATTTAAACATTGGTTTCTTTGTTTTAGCTGCCTAGAGTGAAATTTAGGGAATCTATGGCTGCTTCCCTTTCAAAGGTTCACATGTTTTTACCAAGAATTACTGCAGCCCTTCAGTCATCTTGAACTATGCCACTCCTCTGAACACCAACTAAACATTTCTGCCCAAACAAATGCTGATCATTGGATATGTCCCCTTCTATGGATGATTAATTGGGCTGTAAACCGCATGCATGAATGTCTTTTGAAATATCAAAGGTCAACTGTTTCAGATATTGACCAGCCCACTAAACACCAATTACTCCATACACCCAGTCACCTAAATCCTTCTTTCTTCCATATTTTTATGACAAGTTAAAATTTTAGCAAGTCATTTTACTAGTGGCAAGACTGTACATTCTACTAATTTACAGCGGAGGTACATAATCCTTTAATACCCTTATTAACAAGAATCAGATCAATTATACATATTACAATGGCAATGATTGTAGTTGCAAAATCTGTGTTGCACATTTTAAAAGTTATCTTAGGCATTAGAACAGATGTCTTCAGTGTGAGATGGGTCACAGAGGTACTGCAGGGTGGCCATTTATCAGAAATAAATTATAAGTAGTGACATCAGTAATATTATTCAAAGTGGGAAAAAATATTTTATAGGTTACTTTTACACAGGGACCTTTATAAAGGCACCAAGCATTTTACTGTAAAGTTATTCTTGACCTCATAACCTACATCCTTAAAAGGTCAGCTCACCATCTACATCCCCCTATGCTTTTTGTATTTCGAGCCAACCCAGTCTCATGGGAAAATGTACCCCCACTACGTTGGTCCACACTGCAAAACGTAGTGGAGGTACATTAATGGCCATTTTTTTGTGGTACTGTTACGTTTCTTCTACCTATACGCTTTCTATTGTTTTACGTCCTAGTCACGTGACTTTCAAGATTCCAGCTGGGAGAACAAAAAAAATAAATATATGGCCGACATTCGCTCATTTTCTTTTGTGGAAAGATTAATGATTGAGTTCGTTTTTGCATTAAAATGAGTTTTGATTACATTTCTAGTGAGAAATGTATAGTTTGTTGCCAGAATATTTACTCAGGGAATGTACATATTCACTTGCTTGTTCGTTTCTTGCAAAGATTTTTCAAGATAATGTGAAACTGTAACATTTTGGTATAAACATGGCTGAGATTTCTCTAACTTTTAGTGGGAAAATCAATAATTTCAATCAGTTTCTGCATTTAAATGGGTTTTGATCACATTTATAGCGAGAAGTGTAGGGTTTATTTACATAATATTTACTTAGTGAACATACATAATCACCCGCTTGCTAGTTTTTGCTACGTTTTTCGGATCTCGTCAGGATTATGTGAAATTGCAACGTTTAGGCTGCTACCCATCGCCTAGCATTTAGCTGCCGCCCCGATTCAACATTGAATTCTTTGTGATTTAACTCCATCTGACGGATCAAACCCTCGCCACTGCGTGCGTTGCATCTGAGGTTGATTTTCAGATCAATGCATTACGTCGTGGCATACGGGAGAAACTAATTAAACTAGTTAAAAAAAAGGATCATGGGTTAAGATCGGATGTGTTTTATTTGGAAATCTACCGGATCCTTTGAGCATTTCACTTCCTGTTTGGTGCGATCTCATTGATGGGTTTTGACCAGATTCTGACCAAAGAGGAACTAAAAAAAAAATAAAAAACAATTTGAATACACAACCAGCATATCTGGAATCAGTGACAGAGAGCGACTGGGACCAAAAGTTTATTAATTTCTCCCCACTGATTTCCATTCAAAATGTTTTCGATCCCACCAGGCTCTAGCGAAGGGGCGGGCATACCGCCACCTACTGTTCATGAGTGTGTTGCAACATTGTTTTACATCTATTAAATTCTATTTTTTAATTTTGTATTCTGAAGATAAATAAATAATGCTTTCCTTAATCTATAAATATCTTTTATATTTCCTTTATTTCCCAATAATCCTTTAAGACTCCATTCTTGGCCTGTCCTCTTTTCAATTTCTTCCTTTCAGGTTCATATGTTTTGCAGTTCATCAATACATCTGCATTTTCTATCTCTCCACATCCTTCACATTTATCATTATTTTTCCTCCCTATTAAGTATAAATTGTCATTTAAATAAGTATGACCTACTCTTAATCTGATCATTATTATTTCTTCCCTTTGGTTTCTCTCATTAATATTTCTATTTAATACTGACTTTTGTACTTTATATAACCTTCTTCCTTTTTATCTTCATTCCACCTTTTTTTTTTTGCCATTTTTCAATTTCTTTCCTCTTAAGAAATGATTTTCCTTCCCCTTTCCCTAAAGGAATTGTAATTGTTATTTGTCTACTTTTCATTCCACCTAACTTTCCATTAATTAGCTTGAAAACAGCACTTTGTAGGCACCCAGTTTCTCTAACAATGGCCCTTTTTGGGTTACCCTCCATGCATTGGGTGTCAGTTCAGTGGCAGTTCCAGAACATTTTCTTAGGGTTGACCAGGCAGCACAATAATGTGCATGTGGCCAAAAAGTAATAGGGATCAAATTCGGTTAAGAGTCAAGCTATTGGGATCAGGCATCAGGTTCAATTTGCATATTTTCCTAGCCAAAACAAG